CTTCGACGAGAGCAGGCGAGAGTACAGTTACCAATATTTTCGCCAATGTAGTTAACGGGGCACAAGACTCCGTCGGGCATGTTGCCTAATGTTCCAGGGACTCTCCGGCGCTTCAGTGGGCGCAGCCCGCGCTCATTTTGGCGAATTTTCACCCTTGTCTTCCGCCTTTTCCTCTGCTTTCGACATGTTCTCCTTACCCTCATTTTCGCTACTTCTCTACTTTTGTACTTGGCTCTCTCTCTCCCTCGCCGCGGCAGCCGCGGTGCGTCGGGCCGCCCGCTAGGCGGGGTGGGGACGGCACGACCATGTTTATTGATTGTATAGGGAGCAAGAGAGAGAGAGAGAGAAAGACGGGGAGGAGCCAAAGCTGGGCCTCGGCAAATTTGAGGCTATGACCCTCCTCCCTAATTGCAACACCACCCTCTTTGTTGGCCGCGGCTCGTCCTGGACCTGCACCCGGGGCCTCGCCCGGGGCGCCCTCAGGTCGGCGACGCTCGCGCGGCAGACTTGTAAATGTTTTGCGGCGTCACGTTATCGCGCCGCGGTGATTGGCGGGGCGCTTGCCCGAGGTCAGTCCCGCCTGCGCGGCCTGCGCGCCCACACCGCCACGTTGTGGCTTTGAAGCAAAGAGCGTTTTTTCGGCGCGCTCTCTCCGTTTTGTATCTTTTGTCTCTCTCCCGCGTCTGCTGCGCTGAGCCGCTGATCGGCCCGTGTGGGGGTTGGCTGGGGCCCCGGAGGCCCGCGCCCCGCCCCGCCGCGCGCCACGCGCCGCCACCCACACGGCGCTCGCGGGGCGCAGGGTGGCGAGGCCAGGCCATGGGTGGGACGGGGCAGGAGGGGAACCGTTCGAGAAATACGTAACCACAAGGGGGCGCCAGCCCGAGGCAGGGGATTGTGAGGGGGAGGGGGGAATAACCTTAGACCCACCCCCCGCCCGGTCGGCTACCCGCGCGGCCCCTAGCGCCCGGCCGGCGGCGGCGCCGCGCGCTCACCCTCGGTTACCGACATCTAAACCGTCTTGTTCACCCTCTGGCCTCACTCCTTGCGACTGATAAGAGTTTAGCCGGGGCCCGCGAAGTTGGCCGAAAGCAGCACGACGGAGAACTCCGCGGAGATCAAAACTAATTTTGTCTCCTGCCATACCGAGTTGAACCTGCTCGTCCGGGAATAAGTTTCAGGAAGCACTCTACGCGTTCCAGAACACGGAATCAGAGGACTCCTTGCCTCCTTGCGCTGTCTCGAGTGGACCTCGTTTGGTATGAGCCCGGGCTCAGGCTGCCAGTCACCGCCAGACCACTGCGCCACTCCGCACTGCTAGTCTCCGTTACGTACTATCTCCGGTCGGGGCCGCTGCAGGTTGCCCTGCGGGTTGCCCTACAGGTTGCTTGGCGTGCTTCCCCGCTACAGGTCGCCCGTGCCGCTGCTTGAGTAGTGGTCGCCTATGCAGCTGGCATAAACATTCCGCTTTACGACGCGAAATGGTTTCCATATCACGGGTCGTCGTCAATAGAATTGCTACCTCGGCGTCCCTTGCCCCCCTCCGCCGTTGCACCTTCCGGTCATTGGCTCGCGCGCCCCCCGCCGCCTCCGCTGCGCCGCGGACCTCTGCAACGCGGGAGCTCCGCCCGCCACCGTCCCGCCGGCCTGAAGCGGGGGTTTCCTCGTCCTTCCCTTTGCCAAGTTCCTGACAACCAACCACTACTTTGCCATTATACACCCTCTCAGCTCTCAACTAGGACAGACCGGGTTTTGGACCAAGAGAAGCCCCGGGCCATTTGCGGCCGGGTCCTCTCGAGTGAGGAAGCAGGTGCCTCGGTTCGAGGTGTCTCCCACGGAGTCTTTAATGAGACCTGGCCGAAATAACTCAATATATTTCGGTTCAAAATACTACTTATACAGTAGTTTTGATGGTGTTTCTGGTTGTTCGTGAAAATTGTACACGTGCGAAAAAAGATTTGCCATTTTTGTTGTGATTGCCCCGCCCCGTCCCGCCTTGCCACGGGCCGTACGGCTCCGGCATTCGCTGGTCGGGCGGCTCATTCTCTCCGTCCAGCCGGAGCGGTGCAGCCGGGCGCAGAGCAGCAGCCCGGTGCGGTGTGAGCGGCGGGGCGCGGCGGGGCGGAGAGGCGTGCCGGCGCACGGCGTGCCGGTGGCGTGCGCTCTGTGCATTGCATAGCAACCACCGCCGCCACCGCACGACCACCACACCTCGGCCCCGCCCCGCCCCGCCCCGCCTCGCCGTCCTGGAACTGGTTTGGCTTGGGCCCCATCACAGCTGACTGAGCACTGCCGGCGCGCGGACTGCATGCGCTCGGCAGCTGTGGCAGCTGCAGCAGCACAGCCCCGCCCCGCCGCGCCACGCCCCGCGATGGGCGCGCAGGAACAATGTGCAGCCCGCGAGGGAGCGCGAGGCGCTCCCCATGCACCCTCGGCCCGAGACCTGCAGCCCCCGCCGCGCAACGCCACGCCCCGCTCAGCGCGTCTTATCGCTCGTTATCGCGGAGGATTTAAATAGTTAAACGCGGGGGTTGAGTCCAGCCCGCTCCCCGACAGCTTAGCTCGCCGCGCGCAGCGTCGCTTTGCAAGTCCCGCTGCGCGCGCTGCGCTGGCCCGCCCGGCCCGCCCGGCCCCGCGGCTTGCTCAGGTTGGGCTCGATTAACTGTAGCCGGCTCCACTCCCCTCCACGGTCCTGGTGGGCAGAGCCGGGCACAGCGGCCTCGGCAAGTCGATCCGCGACAAGCTGCGCCCCGGCCGTGGCCAGGCCGCGCCGCGCTCGCGCGCCGCCCCTCCCCCAGCGCGCCCGGAGGTTTGTCTGCTTCGACTTTAGATCAATATGTGGCAGACAAGCCAGCGCGCCGGGCCTTGGCGAGCCCGGCGGGCCGGGGTGGCCCCGCGGTGGTGGCCCGGTGGGGCGCCGTTGCTCGGTCGGCCCCTCTCCTACTAAGTGAACCCACGGCCCCGGCACTGCAGCCCTGCGCGGGGGCGGGGGTGTGGTGGGGGTGTGGGGTGTCAACACCCTCTGGCCTCCAGATTCCGAAACGACCCCGGTCCTCCCCCCGTTCCGCTCGCTGCTCTGCCCCACCCCTGCGTTTTTAAGTACGTATCGGCGTCTCTCTAACATTATGTTCTCCTTGTGTTGCAGCAGCAGAAGAAGCGTCCTGCAGAGGACCTCGATGACGGGTATGGCGACGCCTCCCCGGCCAAGTCCGCGAGGAACGGACCGGGACCGGGCTCCAACCCTCCGCCCTCGCAGCAGCAACAGCAGCAGCAACAACAAGAGTCCCTCACCAAGTTCTCGGTGGAGATCGTCCAGCAGCTCGAGTTCTCCACGGCGTCCGCGCAGCCTCAGCAGATCTCCACGAACGTGACGGTGAAGACGCTCACCAACACCTCGGTGAAGAGCGATGTCCTCCACCCGAGCCCGGCCGGCGCGGGCGGCGCCGCTGGTGGGTCGCAGCAGTCGGGCGGCGGCCCCGGCGGTCCCGGGGGTGCGGGCGGCCCCGGCTCCGCCCCACAGACGCCGCGCACGCCCCGCACCCCGTCCGGCGGGCCGCTCGTCGAGTGCAAGCAGGAGCCGGGCGAGGAGTTCGTCGACCTTGAGCAGTGCGCCGCCGCCCTGGAGAAGGACGCGCAGGCCAACGGCGTCACGGCCTTCCCGACGCTCGGCGACCTCATGGGGGACGACACTGGCGACGAGATCATCACGTCCGACGCCTTCAAGGACCTCATCTCGGAGATCGGCGACTCCCACTTCGACTTTATGAGGGACTTCGACCTGGACGACAACAAGCACGGCATCCTGCCCAAGCTGGAGGACAACACCCCGCCGCAGCAGCAGCAACAGCCACAACAGCCGGATAATAAGATGCTAGTCCAGCAGCAGTTGCTTCAGCAACAACAACAACACCAGCAGCAGCAGCAACAACAACAACAACAACAACAACAACAACAACAGCAGCAGCAGCAACAACAACAACAGAAGTCTTCCTTGGGCGCGCAGTTCGGCCCTCAGCCAGGCACCCAGGGGCACGGCCAGCCGCACCCCCAGGGCCGCGGGGGGTTGTTCCCCGGGCTGAACGACCTCAGCCCCGCGGCGCAGACCCTCAAGCAGATGGCCGAGCAGCACCAGCACAAGTACCAGGCGCCGGGCCCCGGACCCGTCGGCGGCTACGGCGTCCCTCCGGGCGTCCCTCCGGGGGTGGGTCCCGCCGGGATGGGCGCCATGGGTACCATGGGCCCCATGCCGGGAATGCGCCAGCACCCGTCCCAGTACGCCGAGTACCCCTTCCAGGGTGGGCCGGGCCCGTTCCAAGGTCCTGGAGGACCCCAACAGGGCGGTCCTGTGGGCCAGCAGGGTTACCCCGGGCCGCAGAAGGTGTTCCGGCCGCAGTGGCGCGGCCAGGGCGTCCCCCGACCAGGCCCGGGACAAGGGCCTCAAGGCCAGGGGCCGCCGGGAGGACCTGGTGGCCCCGGTGGTCCTGGAGGTCCTGGAGGTCCTGGAGGCCCGGGCGGACCAGGGGAGCCGCAGTTCGGGCCGAGGCCGGGGCAGCCGGGGCCGCAGGGCCCAGGCCTGCAGATCTCCGCAGCGCAGCAGATGCAGATGCAGGTGCAGCAGAACGCGCTCATCCAGGTGAGAGCAACACTAGAGGACCGATTGCATCAGAGCACACACCTCCGTGTTGCGGGTTAGTCCTCTCCCTCCTCCCGTCGGGCGCCATTGTCCTGCGGTTCAGGAGAGTATGCAAACCCGCAGCAGTAAGGTGCGTTCTCTGATGCACGCGCGGCCGCTTTGGGGGGCGAATCCGATCGAAGCCGTTCGTTTACAGCACTCCATTTCACGCGTGGAGTGCTCAGAGAATGAGAGCGCGGGGGTGGGCGGGGGAGAGGGGACCTTACCGTACGGCGGATGAGTTTAGCGTCAGGTCATTATGCAATTGCCCCCGCGGCGTGGCCGGGCGGGCCAGCATAGTGCCACCGCCGCTACGCCACGCCACACCAACATTCCGCCACAAACGGACAGATTCCCACGCGGCTTTATGTAATGTGGGAGGCCCGGGCGCGTGCCCCGGGTAACTAGCGAGCGGATAAGTAGCGGCAATAGTGTAATTGCGCGGCGAATGACGAAATTGGACCAGAATACACACAACAGACGGGCGGGGTCGCTCTCGCGTGTCGCCCGTGTGCGGGGCTCCCCACCCCGAGGACCTCGCGGTGTGGTGCGCGCGCGTCCGCCGTGATTGGGAAGTCGGTCTAAACCGAAACAAAACGCACCGGGGAGGAGAGAAGAAACAAAACAAACAGAGCGTGAGTTTGCCTCGGGCCATTAGAAATTTAGAGGGTCGTGGGGCCACACGCTTTATTGCTGTGGTCGGAGAAGGGCGAAAGGGATTAATAATGCACTGCGGGTAGGGTTGTAGGGCAGGGAAACATCCATCCACCCGCACATCTGTCCACCCGGCTCATGTTTGCGCTCTCTGCCCCCAGGTGTCTGCTGCCCAGCACATGCAGATGAACGCGGACATCAAGCCCAACGTGTCCGTGGCCGCCAATCAGGCCATGTTCTTCAACAGTGGCCAGCAGCAGCAGCAACAACAACAGCAGCAGCAGCAACAACAGCAGCAGCAACAGCAGCAACAACAACCGCAACAGCCTCAGCAGCAACCAAAACAGCAACAGCAACAACAGCCGCCGGGCCAGCAGGGTGACAGCTTCACTATGTCACAAAGTCAAACAATTAACTTCATAGCTCAAAGAGGGAACAACGCCAGACAACGTCAACAGCAACAACAGCAACCCCAACAACAGCAGCAACAGCATCCCCAACAGCAACAACCGCATCCCCAACAGCCTAGCCCTGTGCCTCAGCAACCCCCTCAGCAGCAACAGCAGCCGAATGGGCCACAACAGCAACACCCCAAGATGGTCCATCAACAGCAACAGCAGCAATTACTAAGAGCACAACAGGTAACTATCCAAAATTCGAAGTTTTTCTTTTTTTAATTCTTGAGGTCAAAGGTAGATGATCCCAGTAAAGAAACGTGGGAAAACGGGAGTTGGCTTTCGATTTCTGGTTGGATTATGTTTCAGCTAGCTAAATCAGATTACTCCGCAGTTTGATGTAAGAGAGCTTAAGTTTATACTGATCACTGATGTCACTAACGATCGCCCTTTACCCTCCAGCAGGCGATGCAGCAGCAAGGCATGGTCCGGCCTCCGCCACCAGAGTACAAGCCCAGTCTCATGCAAGGCGTGCCACAGGGCTTCCCTCAACAACAGCGCCCAATGATGCGGCCGCAGCAGCAACAACAGCAACAGCAGCAGCAAATGTACATGCAACAGCAGCAGCAACAGAGAGGCGTGGCTCCGGGCGCGGCTCCGGGCGCGGTTCCGGGACAAGGAGCTTACCCGAATCCGCGGGCCGGCGGCCTGCCCCGCCAGAGGTTGCCCGCGGGCATGGCCATGGGCATGCAGGGCTCCATGGGCATGGTAGGTGGTGTGGCCATGGGCATGAGGCCCGGAGGACCCGGGGCACCCGGGGGTTCGGAGTGGAGGCACATGATGATGCAGCAGCAGGCCATGGCGAGCAACATGCCTGGTGGAATGCCCGGAAACGGCATGCCTGGAGGCTTGTCTTCGAGTGGTATGCCGGGTGGTATGCCCGGAAACGGTATGGGTATGCCTGGCAACAGTATGGCAGGCGGCATGCCGGGGAACAGCATGGCGGGGTCAATGCCCGCAAACATAGCGGGTCAAATGAGAGGGGCCTTCCCTCACGGACCTCACCCTTCCCATCAAGGAGCCCCACACCAAGGTGCCCC